AGTAAGCAAAAAAAAAAATATTAAAAATAATATATATATATATATAAGGAGGTGCTTTGGAAAGTTCAGGAAGACCTCAGCTTGTCTTTTGTCAGCTGGGAAGGCTGGTTAAATGCATGTTGGTTTCATGCTCCCCCCTTTTGGGGCACAGCCCCGGGGTCTGGCAGCAGAGGGGTGCCCTTTGCTGGGGGAACCCGTGTTTTGCAGCCCTTGGTGGGCTCATTGGGAAACCCAGGAACTGGCTGAGACAGGGTGAATAACACAGACAAGAGGATGGGCCACCCTTCACCAAGAGAAACGGGTCCCTTGGAGAGAGAGAAAGAGAGAGGGAGGTGTATTTGCTTGAAGCAGCAGCAGGAAAAGGAGGCCAGAGAGGGACAGAGGGAGATGAGCCCAGCATCACCACGGTGGAGAGAGTGTCACCTAAGGAGGAGCAGGGAAGGGCTGAGAAGGTGTTGAAAGTCCCAGGAGAAAGGGGGGAGGGAGCACAGAAGGAGGTTTCCAGTAAAAGGGCCATCCAGACGGTTGTTCTTCTGCAGCAGGGGAATGGCCCCGAAGACTTTTGGGCTCCTGTGGCATTCCAGATAAATATAGCTGCTGGCAGTGTGGATAAATATAGCTGCTGTGGACGCTGTGGTGGTGTGAGCTGGCAGAGCTGCCCCTGCTCCCCCTTCCCGCCGTGGTTTGAAGGCTCCTTCTGCACTTCATCCCTCCTGCAGCCACCACCGGTTGGTGCCAAGGCTCCTTCCCAGCAGGGCTCCTCGGCCTCACGGGTGGGGTGGGAGGCAGGAGGAGGAATTCCCCTCTGTTTTCAGCAAGGAAAAGGAGGGTCTGGACTCGTGGTTGCCACCAGAGGGTGCAGCTGGCTCGGCCATGGACACGATGTCCAAGTCCGACGTGAGGTTCCAGACCCCCTTCCCTGGGGGACAGGGTGGCAACGGGGTTGGAAGCAGCGCGGGGTGTTCCTGCACTGCACACTCTCCAGCCTGTTAGGGAGCTGAGAGAGGAGGGACAGGGCGGCTGGCAGCAAAGCCAGGAGAGAAGGAAGGTCCCCTGTAGAAAGCCCATGGGCTCAGCTGAAATGAGCCAGGAGCAGGTTTGTGCTTTTTGTTCCACAGGACTCCAGTGGAGGATGCTAAAACCTTAAACAGGGGGGAAATAAATAAGATAAATCTTCTTGAACACAGAGGCACCCATTCTGGCCCAGAAGTCTGGGAGCTATGAATGTCCAGAGGCTGGGAAGCATCCCCAGGGCAGCCAAGAACCCAGGTCTGCTCCCTGTCCCCTCTCCTGGCACCTGGATGGGCAGGCAGTGATTGTGAGGAGGCTGCTGGAATAGCCTGGCTTTGGGAAAGGATCATTCTATCAAAAAAATTGGAAAAAAACCCCAACAAACCCACCCATTTCTAAAGGGATGAACTCAGCAACCAAAACCTGACTCTAGCCCTTCCCTCAAATTCCATGGACAGGTGTGCTTCACACCCAGTGTGTGTGAACCCATCCCCTTAGCTGCACAACTCCTCTGGCATTTCATCCTGCTGGAGCAAAGCTGGATCAAAGGCCCAGTCCTAGAAGATGAGGAGAGTGAGGACAAACCACCACTTCCCACATGCTACTTACTGCCCTCTCCCCTTGGCTCTGCACTTTTGTGCCCAGCTCTGGTTTTTACAGTTTGCAGCTTTTCATGCCACATATTTCCATATCTTTTCTAGCACATACCCACTGCTGGGAGAAACTGATGACTCTGGGAGCACTTCCCTGTTTTCCCCCTTCAGGTATATTGGTAGCAGACCTGCCACAAGGAAAAACAGCCTGATCCTGTCCTAACTCTGCTGCTCACAAGGCAAGTGTCTTCACCCTGCCTCCAGGACAAAGACAAAGGCAAAGCGTTCCCAGGGATTGCCAGTGATGGGTTTGATTGTCTTCTGTTTGCCTTCAAACTGAGCCAAAGTTCTTGGAGAGTGCCCTCCGAGGCATTGCCCCCAGGATATCATGAGGTGAATCTGGCTGTACACCAGAAGATCAGGGCCACCTTCCAAAAAAAGGGTAAAATACATCTGGGCTGGCAGGCTGGAGATGCACCATCAAACAAGACAAGGTCAGGGGCAGAAAGAGTGCCCAAAGGAAACAGGGAGGATAAAAGGAGCCTTTGTGAAAACCCCATGTCCAAGTCCAGGTAAACAGGAAGAAATTCCTAAATGCTCAAAACTGTGGTTGGAGGGAGCTCCCTGTGTGCAGGTGTGTGCCCAGTGTTGGCAAGGACTTTGTTTTGATGATCTGTCTCCTGCCAGCTGCAAACAGGCTCCTGCAGCAAGAGCTGGCCAGCTTCAGAGGGGCTTTTGTCTCCTGCTGGTCATCTGTATGGCTGAGGGCAGCCATCAGCCTGCCCTGGCTCCCTCCAGGCTCCCTGGCCTTTTTTTTTTTATCATGCCTGCCCTGTGGATTCCCATCCTCCCTGTAAGACGGGAGGGCTCCAGTGGGAAGGAAGAGGTGTA